GATTCGGATGAGTCCCGGGGTGGTGCCACATCAGCGTTGTCAACGGACATCGCTTGAAGACTTCAAAGTTCAGTTCAGATTTGACAGCTCCGCACTTCCTCGGCGTCTTTCCCAGGGTGCTGACACTTGGCATTTCTTACTCGGGTCAGCTGGAGGTCCGTTATGTTCGCAGGTATGGGAATGTCGGACGCGTGGACGTGCGACAGGATTCAATGTGTGAGTTCGGGTGTTATTATAGTAGTTGAGAGCGGTTTATGCGTATCTGGTTCACTTCCGACTTTCGAGGAGCGCTCGGAGAAAATGCGAGGGCGCACGATGCAATTGCCCACTCTTTCCCCGTTTTGAATGACGGAGGGGTGAACGTGTGCGTGTTCCGCTCGCATTCAAGCACTTGTTTGTGTTCCACCCAACTTTGGACCTATCTGATAACTTGCGGCCTTGATCCTTCGAGAAGGGCCACGGACATTTCGTGATTCCATGTCGATATAGTTGGCTGTCAGGACTTTGTCGTTCTGTGGTATCCGCCACTCACCACCCCCGAATGAACGCGCTTACATGATCTCGGGACACCGAGGTTCTCCACCGAGTACGCCGTTTAGACTCGAGCTCTTCTATGGCTTCAGGCGCCCACATAGTGATTCCGTATCTCGTCAATGAATGGCTGACGCCTGCATGTCATCACTGATAAGTGATGGGTAACTACGCTAGCAAGCTGTGAAGACTGGTTGACTTCGCTGGTGCGCACAACACTGGAGAGCCTTGAGTTTTTTATTCTCGGGAATGGTTTGTACTGACATTGGGGACAGTTAGCAACCTTCACAGTGCGCGTGAGCTCTTCCATGCCTCTACCGGACCCCATAGGCACGTTTATCCTCTCTCCGCTACCTCAAGATATCAAAGGCACGTGGCCAGTATATATGGAGGAGGGTTCCTTTACCATCAGTAGCTTCCGAGATCTTTTACGATGGCGAGCCTCAACGCCAGTATGCACCCTAACAACCAAGCGACGCTCAGGTCAGATGCTCGCTGCGAATGCGATAGTTCATTGAAGCAAGGCTCAATCCCGATTCTCTACAAAAAGCTAAGTAAACCCATCGAGCTTGCCTACGAGGTGATTAACCATCGGAGAAGCCTTCAACCGCGAATCAAGGTGTGCGATTGGTTTGATCCTCCAAGGCAATCGAGCCATGGATCCCAAATAAAATTTACCACCGGAGGGCTCCGTGACACCACCTGTTTTGCACTTTTGGGGTCGTCCCTCCTCGTAGGAAGACCATCGATGAACACTATACTAGCACTCACAAGAATTCCCTGTTGGATCCTGAGCGTCATGAATTAGACGTGAGTGAATTAAGCGGCAGTCAACTAGGTACACACCGATGAACACGGTTTCGGAGTCAGTTACTACTACTTCATAACGATCAGGACGCCCAGATTACTCGGGGGGAGGATTACTGGACAGGGGGGACATTTGAGAAGACTCTTCAACGAGTTGTACTCATCGTATCCCTGACCTTTGGTAGCCTAGGCGAGAGGCCTAGAGGCTGGATAGTTGGATGAAGGGAGATTATCGATGAGATGAATGGATGCACGAGTCAAAGAAATATATCAGCGGGAGCAATTGTACTCAAGTCGGTCGAAGCTGACTCAGCTGCATGTCAGTCTAGAACGAGAGGTACCCGAGCGTAGTACCCGCTTACAGCCCGCGAACATCAGCGTCTATTTCCCTGACCCTCATAGTATATTGATAGGCGTTAAAGCAATCCCGGGCGCTTCGAGTCGAGTCTTTGTGCATCCTGGGCGTCCAGATGAATCCGATGTCCTCGGCTTACAGTTATACTCGCCCTCTTGATAGTGTTACTCTGGTCCGGTGAACACGATCGGTGATGGAGCTGTAGACGGATTTGTAGGTAAGCCTAAGCTATGAGCGCGCCACACCTCCGTTCCCGTCGATACCGCGAATGGTGGACTCCCTTCCTTCGAGCTCTCCCGTGAAGTAAATTATCGCAGTCCAGTGATACGCTGGCATGCTGTATTCATATTTATGGTAATGTTAATATCGCTGTTTCCGCTGGTATGATTAGATGATCTTAACAACAATCGTTCATGACCGTCGAGGTCCCCCTAAGACATGCATTCCCTGACGGCCTGAAGGCTTGACCCCTAGCCCCATCCTGCGTGTTTGATCGAAGAATGGAAGGTTCCTACCCTCAACGCGTCGGGGTTTACGTCACCGCAATGCTACTATTAGGCACTCCGCCGATATTCTTATCGACGCCCAGCCAACCATGCTTTGTACCAGGGTAGCGCTTCCAACACAAGGGAGCGGCGTGGTCCTGTGCAGCGCTTATGAATCATCTACAAACGCGTTCCGGTACCTTGTTGCGGATTTGGCTCTTCCCAGTTCCGTTACGTTTCAAACTGATTTTGGAACGATATCACCGGAAGACACCATCTGTGCCGGCGTTCTCGCGATTGGGTAATATGCAGAGGTCGACGGAACAAAGAAACTAGTTCATGATTGATACAGGTCCAAGTCAGTACAATACACCACAATGTGAACGAAGCAAGATCCGCCCTGCAGTGAGAAAACCTCTCAGAGGCTAGAGAAGAAGAGGCATAGTGCATAATCGTCCGGGGTATCTGATGGGCTTGGGTTCAGTTACGCTTTGAGCACCCACTTATCCCCACCAGCGGCGTGTACCAGCTTCTCCCTTCTTGTACCGAGGATACGATAGAAACTCCAAGGGAGTTCTGATGCATCCTGATCCAGGAGAATGTGAAGAAGGTAGGCTGATGTGTGATATCGAGTCGTAATGTATGGTGGCGACCCCTTCGACGGGTTATCGTTCGTTGAAGATAGCATCGTAGGAACTCTAAGAGCGCAGTTTTGTAAGACAAACGCCGCAACAGATATCTCTCGGAGCTTACGGTTCAAATGAAGGGAACGTGCCCTATACGATTCATGTCGCGTTATCAGTAAATTACCCCTATGATGGCTGTGGGAGCAACTACGAACCGAATACAATACAAGCCTAGTATTCCGAATCAGATTGCGCCGTCTGGAACGTCAAAGAAGAACTTACCACGGCAGCCCAATGCTTTTGAGGAGGTCCAGGTGACGTTTTTTACCGCCCATGAAGCTCTTGGTGTTATCTGGTAGCGTATGTGTCGGGTATCCGAATTCTCTGTCGTTGATCGCCAATAAAGCTAAAATAAGGGTGGTGCCTGAACGGAGGAACTTACGAGGGGACAAACAACTTTACGCCGGCCGCCTTAGCGGCTTTAGCAACCACGTCTTGGGCTCTGAAACCCGGTAGTTCTGCGATCGACCTGACGTCGTTACTGCTGAGCCCCGAATCGTCGCCTACGGTGCTAATGACCACATCGACACCACGAAGAGCTCTCAAGAGTGCCTCATGCGTGTCGGAAGTCCCATATTGGATCGGGTACACAGTTACCCGAAGGCAGGGGTCGACCTCTGTCGGCCACGGTGACGGTCTCGTCAGGACTCGAATATCGAGGGCTTTGTGTCGTGGGTGTTTGGCAAGGGCGGCAAGCAATTGGGTCCCAAGACGACCGGTCGCTCCCAGAATAGCTATCGACTGGATCTCTGACATGGTAGAAGGGGTACGGTGCTGGAGGAAGTGGGGGGGTGGGGTGTTGGGTAAATGCCGATCGGAGATGCCAGTTATATAGGATGGGCGAATTATGGATTTAATTTCCTTGTTGAAATCCTTGGCTCCTTTAAAGAGATCAATTCAAAAAGCATATTCGGTACGTCACGCGCTTGCATTGTGTCCATCTGCCACGGCGTGAGAGGCCGTGAGTGTAAGCAGTCCGCGTTCTTCGGACTGACCAAAGGTAGCACCCTGACCCGCCAATACGTTTCCAGGCGCCGTTTCAAGTTTGATGCCGTCTTCGTTGGCTAGCCACGTCCTTTTTGGAGGGATAAATCAGCGGGAATGAGGGAAAAGTGCGGGGGCGGGAAACTGAGAGGCCAAAACTCTGCGCCAAATGCTTCGCGCTTCGTTGTCGCTTTCCGGAGCATTAGAAATAAACATTTGGAAGGGGTGTAGGTTCTTCGATGCAAGACAGTATCGCACAAAGGCCAGGTGTGCTTCATGCTTTGAAATTCAGGGAGGTGATGATCGTGCATCGAAAGCGTTCTTGTACCATGCACTGCGCATTCTCGAGCTGACAGCAATCGAGGAGAGCTAACCGTGGCGATGGAAAGGTGACATTCATCAAACGATAAAGGCCTGAGCTGATCTTTCGCGGTCGGCATTAATAACCTTTGAAATTGAGAAAAAAGTCACTGAATTTTTCCGTGGGTTTTCGACCGTAAAAAGGAACAATACCCAACACCGGAGGGGTCCCAACCATATATGGGGTGCGGGCTTGACCGCTTGTGCTTCGGCCAAAAGAAAGAAAGGCACAAAGGATGTAAGAGCTTGAGATCTAGAGGAAACCATGCTCAGTTAGTCACAAAAAAAGCGCACTTCATCCTGATTCGCAGGGTTTTTCTGGCGAGAGGATTGGCTAGACCCGCACAAGTGTCGTGCACAGGTGCATGGATGATTGTTGTCCCATAGCTATTTGGGGGAACTATCATTGTGTCGCGTATTTTCTTCCTTCTTCTATAACAGGCAGAGGAACTTTCCTCAACCGACTCGCTGGTGCCTGGCGACTGACCATTGAGACGAACCGGTAGCCCATCAACGAGCCACCGGGAAGATCACCTACACTTTCAAACGCGGAGCACGACCCAGGTCCTCTCCAGAGCGTGTCGATTTTCATTCAGCGCAGGCTCTCGTTCGCCTATGGAGATAGTCGCAGCATGCCATTGCTTCGGCTGAATGTCGTTACATTGAAGAGAAAATGGATGACGCGACGGGTGATGCCGACGGATTCTCTGATCGATGGTGTTCCCGAAAGCAGGGACACAATAGTGGGTGGTCATGAGGGACAATAGTTGAAATTTATGCCAGAACTTGCAAGGCAAGATGGCCGAGCGGTCCAAGGCGTGTGACTCAAGCGGAAAGGGCGTAAAAGCCCAACGTTTGCCTGATGTTTCGGGTTTCTCATCAGGGTAATCCTGGCGTGGGTTCGAATCCCACTCTTGTCAGCTTTTTTGTCCGTGAACCCCAGGTTATTTCGCTACAGGGCTGGCTTTAGGACCCCCGGATTAAGTATCGTCGGTGAGCTTATCTACATCTTCGATGACTTCGGTGATCGAGCGTCTATCTAGTTCGCTTAGATGTTCAGAAGAGACAATCCTGGTATTCGAGCGGACCAGCGATGACCCCGGCATTAACGGAAAGCCTGAGAACCCCATAACCGCCTCGCCCAGATTATATCAGGACTCTTTCCAGAGTCAGGGGCAAAATGGAAAGGTTTCGGCTTCTATCAGGGAACCAATAGCCGGGATCTATTGGCAAATTTTCGGTCCCGTTTCCTTGAAATTAGCTTGTGATTCGTGTACTTAGTTGCAAATGCACCCTAATATTTCTATTGACACGAGACCCCGTTCACTCTACCTGACACACCATGGGCGAAATCCTCTCACCAGCACAGCACCGGTACGTCCAGCACCAATTCGATGACCGTGAAGGGAGCATATCTCATGAGCACGTTCGCAACGAAGACCAACAGTGGTGAGGGGGGCCTTGTGTCGTATGGATTAGCGGAATTTATGCTGAAGGCGTGCTAGGGGGAGAGGCTGACAACGAAACCCCGCCCGGTCCCCAAAATGTTAAACTGTGAATGCGCGATGGGCAAATTTCACCGTCTACGACGTTTTAGAGATACACCGGGATAAAGCTAGTCTGAGCTGGGGGACAGCCAGCCAAGGGGCGTTCGACGGTTCGAAAGACTTTTCAAACGCCACGGAGAGCCAACTCCTACCAGGACGCTGCCCTTGAAATTTAGAACTGCGATCGCTGATTTGAACGAGCCAACAGAATGCATCCGTACACAGATCGCGAGTATAGCTGCGAACGACCGAGGCGCTCAGTACCAAGTCCAGCGACAAACCACAGTCGCGCTGGTTGAAGCCACGAAAACCGCAGGCACTTCTGGAGAAGTCGGCAAGGTACGTATACGGTCCGACTCGATCAGATCGACATCCAAGGCAACCTCGCGGAGGAAAGGAGGACGATGCTCGATAGTATGGGATAACGTGTAAAAATCGCGTTGTTTGTGTCTCACGGTGTATGATAGTTGACCGTGCGATTGTGAAGTTTGTTTGATGTGGCCGACCCGACTCCGAGGGAAGGTGTGAATTAAAGCCCTACGATGTGATCTAAAAAGTAGGGTAGATAAGGAGTCGAAGAGACTTAGAGATATCCACGGCCATAGGACCTTGAAAGCACCGCATCCCGTCCGATCTGCGAAGTTAACCAGGGTGCCGCCCAGTTAGTACCACGGTGGGGGACCACGCGGGAATCCTGGGTGCTGTGGTTTTTTTCTCTCTTTTCCTCAGGCTCTCAATGTTATCCATCCCCTAGACACGTTCAAGATTGATTCACTCGTCGAGATAAGCATCGTCCAATCCCACTTGGGTGCCAGTTGACCCTTTTTGACGGCTGGGCTTGCGATCCGAGGTCGCGCCTCAACCACAGCTGAAATTACCCTCCATAAAAGAGAACTCGTCCCTTCGTCCGAAATATAATTACCTCATGTACAAAATTCCTATCGTGCCCAAAAATAATTATGTGTTAGGGACTATCCTATATCTAATAAACGTAAGAATGAAGGCGGAAAGAAAGGGTGGATCAGGAAGAAAACAAGCAACAGGATACAAACGTTCTCAGTGTCCAAAAAGTACCGTCCCTGCTATTGCACCAAAAAAAAAAAACCAAAGCTGCAGAGTGAAATAATGTGACAATATTTGCATCTGAACGTAACCGCGAAGGCAAGAAACAGCGAGCAAGCGAAATAAATGAAAGAAGCGAGGTAGAGATCGTGTATCGAGAAATGTCCTTGCGTGAAAACGGAACGGGAGAAAATGTGACATGGCTCGTGATGGGAAGGCCGAGAGAAAAGGAACGACAAGGAAATAGACAATCGCGAAGTCAACGAAAACCAGCCGAGAATGTACGCCAGGCCGCAAATCGAGAGACACTAAACCCATGTGCGCACCAGTGAGTCAAGAGACAACTTTGACGACCACATTCCTGCCACATTTCAAACTCATCGCACCCTCCGCGAACACGTGGGGTGCATTCTCAAACACGACAACTCTACCCATCGAGTTCACCCAGCCTGTCTCGGCACTGCCCTCCGCCGGGGTCGACATGGGACTCTCTCGGCTCTCGACGTAAGGCTTGACTCGGCCCCTGGTCTCTTCGACCCACTTGATAATCCCGGCGAGAGCGTCCCTGACATCCAACCCTTCCCCATCTATATCTGCGGCGGCAGAGATCCACGCATAACCGCACGCAGCGTTCATCGCCCTCTTCATAGACCTGAACCCGGCTTTGAAGTGATCGTGCGCGCTGGGGATGGTCCGTTCCTTGTCGTCCCCTACCAAGGTGGTAAACTGCGGAGGCATGAAATCATCGGCCATCGAGTCTGACTCGGGGTTGGAAGACCTGAGTGGATTGGACAATATGTGTTGCAAAGCTGCGTTCCAAACATCCAATCCCCCAATGGTATCCAGGACGCCGTCGATAATGTATCCCCCCGGTCGTGTCTTGCACCGCTCACCCAACATGGCGATAACCGCAGTCGCCTCACCGAGGCAAACATCCTCGACACCCCATCTTCTCAACCTCTTCTCCATGTTCTTGAACGCTGGACTGGAAAGTAGAGTGGGATACCCGTTCGAAGGAATCGCCTCTGGGGAAACGTGTGCAACGACTTTCCAGCCTCTTCGTATGAGCATCTGCGAAGACAAGGCCCCGACACCACTGTGGCCGTCCAGTACAAGTATGCGGCGAGGACGAGACTTCCTTGGGGCAGGGGCAGCGGGGTTCAAAGCGGAGAGGTCAAATGTCTTTACGGCCCTATACGCAAACACTCCACAGATGGGCAGCAAAGCGAGCTCCTCTACCGTCAAGACGCTGTTTAATCCCTTCTTTCCGATCATGGAGGCAGTCGACCTGGTGGACCGTATGGACGGCGAAGGAGAAGGGGCCCTCGAAGAGGCTCGGGAGTTCGAGAGAAGGGTTCCTAACGTAGGAAGAGGAGCCGGGCCGGGAACACGATGAATTCTATGCCTGTCGATCGTAATGAATTCTGCGAGAGCACCAGACTATCCAAGGGGACAGCTGCGTTAGGTGTTAAATTCAAGCGATTGGGCAACACACACTACCTTTTTTACCTCCATCAACCCAACGACCCACTCGCCCTTCTTCACAATGTCTTCTCTAACCTCCCAACCAACTTCCACCGCACGGCCGACAAAACTTCTGCCAGGGATGAATCCAGGTGTATTATGTTTGTCCTTCAATACGATCGCGGCGTCCCGACTGTCCAATCCAACGGCCCAAACCTGAACCAAAACGTGATGGGGTGGAACATGAGTGGGGGGAGATAGGTGAGAACAGAGTCCCAGAGGGGTGGGCATTTCCTGAGCGAGGTGACCGGGGGATGGACCGCTCTTGCTCCGAGATCTCAACCGAGTGGAGAGTCTCCGAGAAATAGAACGAGATAGGCCCCCGGGACGGTTCCCAGCTTCGGCTGTCCCCTTCACAATCTCGACAGTTGCCATCGTTGTTCCAGCTAGCCCGCCACGAGAAAGATCGACTTTGTTCACGTCTTCGACCTTGAATTTTTGTAAAATCTCAGTCCCACCTCCCAAAAACAGACTATTTCTGGCAGAAGCTGAGGCAGAGTAAATCGAATGGGCGGGGGGCAGAACGTTGGCCCTCGGTAGAGTCATGGTAGAGTAAGGAGTGGTTCCACGAGAGGACGTGCCGGGCTCAGAGTGGATGTGTGAGGTGGAGGGGACGCTCACAGTTTGATGGCGGTCGGAAATTGAAGTGAGAGAGGGAGTGGACTTTGAGGCTGGATGGTGAGCAATCCAGGGATTCACTCCGCCGATATCGAGCGATGGGCGTGTCTTTCGGTATGTGATGTTCGAAGGACGAGAACGTTGGCTGGACTGGTCATCGTCTTCGCCCTCTGGCACTTCAAGCACAGCAGACATCCTTATCTTTGGAACTTTCCGTAAGGGTTCTTGCCTTGATTCCGTCAATGGCCGGTGATCGTTACGCTTCACAATCTTCGGCGCTGTGGAACGTTTCGGCTTCTTGTTTGAGCTCGAACTAGACGCTGGTGGCGGCACGAGCCACCTGACTTCTTTGGCCCAGTCCTCGTCAGCATAGGGTACACGGTGTTTAGTGGCCACTGAGGAAGTTCTGGAAGTCCTGGAGGCGGAAGAAATTGTGATGGTCGTCGCCGCAGCTATGCTTTGCACCAAAGAAGGCGGTTTTGAGTGACCGGAATCTGATGGGTCGGGAGTGGTGACGCGTGTAGAGGCGCTGAAGGAGGAGAAAACAGAAGCCTCTATGGTTTCCGAATCGCTGTCGTCGGCTACAGAGTCCGCTGAGGAGGCAGAAGACGAAGGAAGGGATTGGTCTGTTGACGCAGTGGGAGAGAGGATTGGATTGGCAGTAGCCTCGGGGGTGTGAAACTCTTCCTCGGAGGTAGGCTCACTTTCAGTGTCTCCAGCGAGGGTGAGAGGGGAAGGGTTGGTAGCAGATCGGTCGTCAGGAAAGATTGTCTTGATTGGAGGCAGTTTCGGCTAGAACGTTTGAAAGATTAGGGGCTGAGAAGGTGAATGAGGCTGGAAGACTTGCGACGAGGTCATCCTGTGCCGCCACTTTCAGGAGGGTAGCTTTTGTGGAATGGTAGTTCTTCTCCTGAATGGGGAATGTGTACGACTGCGATGGGGCATTAAATATCCGTTGGAGAAGGGTAGGCTTTGTCATGGGGAACCAGGAAGGAGGAAAAGAGCGGCGAGGGCTTTTGTCGCCGTGGTTGTCGTGGTGCGAGGTTAAGAGATACGGGGAGTAGGAGAGGGGAGGGCGTTGATACTATCAGCGGCTCCTTCGCTTCATGCCAATGTGTGGTGTTGGAGTCGCTTGACCGAGCCGGCCTTACCGGATTAATCCGATCATT